AAATCGTAGCATCACGCATCGCGATCGATCGTCGTGCGTGGGGAGGCGTACACTTGCGATCATTTGGGCAGGTACCATAGTCAGAGCAGGGTGCATGTTTTATGTTGGGATTCTTGATGTTCCATGTTCTTTGGACCAGCGCGTGGGCTAGGGCCAACGCGACGCTGCTGCTCCGTGAGGAGTTGTGCAAGCTCCGTGCCGATATAAACCATGCAGCCTCAGAGCAGCGGACGGCCTTGCACTTCGCTGCCAGCAGTCAGTGCGTGGACATTGTGCGCTTGCTGCTGCTGGGCCTTCTAAAGAGAAAACAGGGAAAAGGGAAAGAGGGAATAAGCTGGAGAATCTTGGCATTTTGGCCGGACACAAGCCGTTCGCCCCCGAATTGAATGTAGGATGTAAGACTCATCTTTGAGTCTATATACTTGGATGGGGAACTCGAGATTTTAGGTGCTATACTCCTCCGAGTCCTCCTCAAAGACACCACCAGAATCTCTCCAGCTCAATTGGGCAGGCGCCGGGCTCAGGTGTCAGTCAAGGGCGAACTTGGATGCAACCAATATGCATGGGCACACTGCCTTGGCGATCAGTGCAGCCTCTTAGTTGCACTAGAGAAATGATCTGTTTGATATCCAAACTTTCAGCTGACTTTGAACAGTTGTCTTCTCCAACCCTGTGGTGTTTAACAAGTAGAAGGGGACCTTGTCCTGTCAGCCTGCCTGCAGGATACGCTATATTGTTGACCAGGTTTGTTGTTTTTCAGGTGGGCCAGTGAATCCTTGTGATTTTGGCCGGTCATCGTTCGCTGCTTGAGGGGCTTCAGCGTTGTTCCATGTGACACGCATCGATTTGGTGATATGTCCCCACACATCGTGTCATTTGGAGATTGCAGTGGTAGTGTGACTAGCTGTCCAGCTCCAATCAAACCTCACTTCTTCAAACTCCTAGACAGCAGGCTGCAGATGAAACCTCATCCACATCATCCTCAAACCAAAGAAAGGGGACCCTCTTCCTCCTCTCCCACCTTCTCTCCCAGAGCATCTCGTCCTCCCCAACCCCATCTTCACGTTCGCCTCAGCCTCCCAACTCCCGACGCCGCTCTCCTTCCGTGTCAGGCTCAGGGCAATGCCCGGATCGTGAAGGTCCTGTGTGAGGCCAAGGCAACGGTGACCCTACGGTGCCCCGAGGGCACGGCCTTGGATTTGGCCCATCGACATGGACACAAGGAGGTGGCAAAGAGCCTCGGGAGGGAATGATGTGCGGAGGAGGGCGGAAGGCGGAGGGCGGAGGAGGCCAAAACGACGCGCGGGTGCTTCGGGAGTTCCAAGATAGTGAAGGTCTATGTAGTCTGACTTGGGATTTTCATGATGGCCATGTGTTTTTTTTGTTTGGCTTTTGCATTTTGAGTTTCTGAGCAAACCTTTTTTTGAACTTGATGCTTCACCGAGGATCCTCAAGCAAAATGAACTGTAGTGAGCAGAAGAAGTATCAAGTGACGGAGTAGCGTGAGTAGCCGTGACTGGTGCGCGGGGGCTTTTCCTCGGAGCCACATCGGAGGGCACTGGAAGCATCCCTACAGAGGGCGACGTAAGTGATGGGACTGCGGCAAAAAGCGCTTGGCAAGCGAATTTCCCATCCCTTCTAAGCCACTGGACTGCGTGAATGGTTGAATTGGTTGTTGGCTGACTGGTGGCCGAGGAGCAGGTGAAGAGCCCACTAAAGCCACTAATTTAGGTAACAAAAACAGCCTTGCAGCACTTCAAGACTTGAACCAAATCCATTGCAAGATCACTCATGTCCAGCCCATTCGTTCACATCTCCAACCACGAGGTTCCCGCTCACTCCCTACTCCCTGAAACTCGTCATTGGTCCGGTCTGGCCCTTCACCCCCTGTCTCACTGAAGAAAGGGCGCGCCAACGTGCCCTCTGTAACCACGCACTCGCCGCGTGCCGAAGCCCGGCGATCCGGCGGTTGGACCGGCGGAACCAGTGTTCAGGTCCAACCGATCGTTGCCCATGACGGGCGATGTGTTCGATCTCATCGTGGTGGACCCGTCGGAGCTCCCAGCGGGGGCGACGGAAGGAGGCGTGGCGACACGCGTTGAACAACGCTTGGGGCTCGGATTGGAGGTGTTCTTTTGGGAGGAGGATGGTGATGGCTGGGAAAGGTAACATTTTAGAAGGTGATCATGGCCCAACGTGTTTCAATTATAAGATTCAGAAGCAACTACCCTACCTCATGGTGCGTTTTGGCCTGCAATTTGTTTCCCAAGGCCCTGGGGCCAGCGCCACAGCAGGCAGATCCGAACTGCTTCAACGAACAATGCAGCTGAACAACTGAACCCTTTGCAGAAGTAGCTGGACAAGCTCGGAGTCCTCAATGCCAAGTCTCCATAGTTATATAATATTATAATAGTTCTATTTCTTCAGCCCTGCGAAAGTCGCCTTCGCTTCAGTCATACCTATGTGAAGCACCACCTCTACACTTGGGTCTCACTCTCAGTGATGTGTCATTGCCTTCATGGCACCTCATAGGAAAACCAAGATGCCGGTCGCGTCGTCGTGGCCTATGGGCAGCGACAACTGCCCTGGCATCAACGACCAACTGCACTTGGAAGCCGCTTTTGGCTATGGCCATCCTTTGGCGAACCAAGGCCAAAGAGTGGGCGCGAGTCCTAAGACCAGGAGGAGCAAGAAGGGCCCGCTGCAGGCTCATCAACAAGCATTGAAGGCTCAATGTAAAATTTAGGAAATTTAGGGTCGCTTCGCTCAAGACCCCTGTCAGTAGCGAGCTGACTTGCAACATCTTGCAACCATTGGCTAGCGTTCGAGAGTTGCTCAGCTGTGACCTGTGGAAGGATTAATCTTTGCACCATCGCTGGGTTCCAAAGCCAATACTGTGGGATACGTATGGAGACGTGATATATGTCAGGAATTTACATGATTGCAGACTACAGTGCTACAGTGACAGCGTGCAACAGAGTGCAAGCATCGGCTGCTGTATTCTTTGTGAGGCCACCGGAAACAGCATTAACTCTATATAATTTGGTATTGCATGTTCATGGAAGGATGCCAGTTCGTATTCAGTGCTTTTTGGTTGCCATGTGCTCCCGCAATGGCCGAACTTCTTATTCACAAACAAGCAACCCAGAAGCCTTGAATCTGTGTTCCAGCCCATAGTCCCAATCGTCCACTGATTCCCAACCGGCCATAATCTCTGGAACACCCCATGGAAAGATGTGATTTTCAAGATTCCTGCAAACCATTGGCCACATTTAACCACCATACCCTCCTTGGCCATCCCATGGGCTCCAAGCCATCCAGCTGCCGAGTGCGGAACCGCCTGGGTTGCCCGGTGACTGGGCGTTCAAATAGGGCGTCGCTGGAGGTCTCGAAGCAGATCCGGGAGGACGTTCCGGGCTTCATCGAGATGGATATGTCTAGATGATCTGGTGACAGGTGAAGCCCCACATGTTTCACTTCTGTAAGTCACAAAAGGAAAGATTAAGCGTGGGTGCTAATTATGCGGTGGTTCATCCAGGTAACTCTGCACAGCAAAAGGAGCAGATGTCACAAGGGCGGGAACACCTCTAAGCCACTGTAAGCTGCTTTCTGAGGGCGAGACATCTCATGGTTTGGGGATTCATCACCCGACCGGTTTTGTGCGAAAAGCCCAGGTGCAACTGGATGCTGTACCCAGCAGCGGCAGCAGCAGCTCAACTGCTCGCATCTCTGCATGCTTGGTGCATGGCGGCGAGCAACTGCAGCTGGGCATTTCCCATAGAGCTTAAAGCAAGTCACAGATGAGAGTTACACCGTCTACTAGTTAGTAGAACGTAGTAGAACCTACACGAATCTACTGTACTACCAGGCGATGGGCATCTAATTGTGAGCTTACTTGTTGCTTTGGATCTGCTATAGTGTCCCGAATGGAGTTGAAGTTAGTGAATGCCAAGCTGGACTGCCTTATGAAGAAACCAGTCCAAGACACTCGCCGCGCCCTTGGCCATGTGCCAAAACTCCACCCGTTTGCGCAACACTGAGGATCCAGGTTGAGAACCACTCTCCCGAGGGGGTGTTGGTGGCTGTACGCTTTCCTTGGCAGGGGAGCGAGGTGAACAAGGTCTTCACTGTGCCAAACGAGGCAGTGCTTCTGCTGCGGGCATTTGAGAAAGGAGAGCACCTCGGACGTTTCGAGCAAGTGAAGAATGATGGGAAGCCAAAGGGGAAATCCCCTCACCAGGGAGCTGGCCAGATGTTGCTGACGTGTTGTGCAATCGTGCGCATTCTGAAACCAGACTTCCAAAACGGCATTGCCTAATTTCAATGACGCAGCAGTGCGCTCCTCTTCACAGAGTCAGGATTTCCACCTATATGATTCCGCCCAATCACAAGCTCCCAGAACCAAGACCTGTGCAGAAACCACCAGAAACCAGCTGACAGAAGTCACAGCTGCTTTTAGGGGGGTCCATGATTCCATCCTAATTACTAATTACTATGAACTGGAAACATTCAAGAGAAGAGCACTGACAGAAGATGCGAAAAAAAAGATCTTTTCACATTCTCCAGCACCATGGAGTCACATTGAATTTGATGGGAATCATGTTCTTCACCCCCACCATCCCCCACCTTTTTTCTCCCCCCCTATCGGCTTGTTTTCGTCCCCTAGTGCCCGAGGCTGGCCTTCAGAGTCACACGTGCGGACGGTGGTTCGGAGGCGGCGGTGGCGTTGGAGGGGCCAGCGTTGGAGGCCTTCAGGGCAGCGCACTGGCCGTGCCCCCAGGCTCCTGAGGCGGGATGGGATTGGATTGGATGAGATGATCGGGATTGGATGATGTCTAGGAGGTACCAGTCTCAGGTCCATTCAACGGGCTTAGACAGCAGCAGGTTCTTTTGCCTGTGTGCATGTGTCTCAGGAGGTGGACTGCAGGTATTCAGCTCGTAGGTAGTCCGAGTGCACCAAATCCACAGCCAGGTAGAGGTGGTGCCACCTGACGAGAGCCATGTCAAGCGGCCCAGGACTGAAGAGGCCATGGGGACGGCGTCGAACTGGTCGACCTTCTGACGCATCACATGTGAGTGTGAGCAAGGCTGATGGGTCTAACCGGCTTAGCCGGATTAGTCAGCAGGAATTCTGGATCACAACACTAAGATACACCAAGTATTTGAGTGTTTTTCGCATGGTTAGGCTGGACTCTTTGGGGTTTGGCCACCAGGTTCCCACAGAAGCAGCCTCCATCCCAGCCTCGTCCGAGACGGCCGTGATCCAAGTGTCAGATGCCCCGATGTCACTTGGGCGCACGATGCAGCCCAGAGCCTGTCCAATCCTTTCAACATATTTACTTCATTTTACTTCAAGACACGGTGGCAGCCATGTGGCGGCTCTACAGACCAAACGGCCATGGGACATATGGAAAGACCCCCCCTCGTTCACCGGTGTCGTACATGTGACTGCTGCGCCGAGTCAAAGGTGCTTTGCCACTGGTTCTGGTGAATGGGTGGACGCTGATCCTACTGGTTGTGATGGGGAAGAGGCCGCTGGACATTTGCCACTGGGTGGTTTGGCAGCCGTTCCACGTTGAAGCATCGGTTTGTATGTAAAGATTGTGAAGCACGCATACCAAAACAGTCTGGCCATTTGGCCTGTTGCTGGGGCTTTTGCAAGGGCCCGCAGACAGAGACATAAACTGGCCATCATCCATATTCCATGATGACCAAAGTGGATCCCTCAGATTTCAGATGTTTGAAATGTTTATCCCTCCGATTTCTTACATCGTGCTACAGTACAACCCCTTAGATCAATATGTCCTTTTTCCTAGTCCGACGCTCCAGGACCTTGACGAGTTGATCGAGGTCTCAACTGCGCAGGACGTTGAGGTCAAGGACGATGAGGCGGGTGGGACCAAAGAGCTGCGACATGGCTCATGGCCTGGCAAGGTTCAGCAACGGAGGAGTCTGGTGACATGGGCCATCAATTGATGATGGTGATGATGAGGAGGAGGAGGAAGAGGAGGAGGAGGAGGAGGAGGAGGGTGAGGATGAGGGATGAGGTATGATTGACAACAAGACCAAGAGGACCAAGGGGTGACTAATCAAACCAATGGTGCTGGGTAGAGGTTGTCACCAAGCCTGCCAAAAAAGATCGCATGTTTTTCTCGATGCATTTTTGGTGGAAGCTTTTGTGGAGCCTGTGGCCCCTTTGCACTGATCCCCAGCTTGAGGCGCCTTCTCATTGGACAGAGTTGCAGCAACGTGGCGGCGTGTTGGGAGTTTTGCAGATCCGCTTCTTCTTCAGCTTGTTTGGAGGCTGTGCTCACCACACGGCCAAGCCAAAAGGCCCAAGAAAGTCACCGGGCATTCTCGAGTCCTTGCGTCGAACTCTCCGTGGAGCTCGCGCCAAGGCTTCAGCTCTTTTGTGAGCTGCGAGACTTCCAGATCCCGGCGGTGCGTGCGCGAAAGGCGATTGATGCAGACTGTGCGGATGTGGAGGAGGCGATCGCTTGGCGCCCTGGCAGGTCTTGGGGTGCCAATCCGGTGCAGAATCCGCAGCTAGTAGCCCTGGTGGTGATGGATGGCCTAGTAGCCCTAGTAGCCCTAGTAAGGCCCTAGTAGCTTTCAGTGCCCAGTCAATGGCTCCCAGGATCGAACGGCATCAAGAGGATGAAGACATTGATGTCTCGCCCGAGATGCTTCGAGCACGGGAGGACGGCGGTAGACGGCCACGGGGAGGGGAAGGGGAAGGTGATGAAATGAGAGATCAGATGGCACGAGTGCTTGGCCATCACTTCTCCTTTTTGTTTTGTTTTTGGGTTCTGAACGAGCTCGGGTGCTTGCGTGTTGGGCTGTTCAACCATTCCTTTTTGCGTGACAAGGAGGAAGAAGTGGCACTCGCCGTGCTCCGACTCTTGACGGTTCCTGCCTTGCACCGCCTTTCATGTTTGCAAGGAGTGCTGGGAAACCCAGAGTCCTGGTTTTTTGTGCCTGCACTGTGGGATTTTGAGCCGTCAGAAACGAACATCTCAGGGTTTGGCAGCAAACATCCAGCATATCAGAGGGGGTTGGAGCAGCCGCATCCCTGCCGCGGCAACATATCAGGATAGTGGATACTTCAACCAGAGTTGTTCAACCAATTCTCAGAAGACACATGCCATTGCAACACAACATTCTACAGGGTATTGTATTTGGGACTGGTTTTCCGGGTGGCCGCCAAGGCACCGGGTATTGCGGAATATCTTGGCAGACCCAGAAAGCAGCCGTGTGAGGCAGGATTGAGCTGAGCTGATGGACCAAGCCAAACAGCAGTTGTTTGACGCAGTTCTGAGAAGGGTCATGCCCTTCGCCCCGACTTTTATAGATGATGACACAATTCCAGAAGGTGATCCTGCTCAGTCCATGGTGAACAGTCGACATGTATCAGGCTCAATTGACCAACTCTCACATGACCCCGAAGATCGATCTCAGCCTTCGCCTACCTCGCCTACCTTTCACCATGCTTGGGTCATGTGATGTCAGCTCAGGTTGATGCCACCCTTCCCCAATCTTCCGAATCTAGAACACTTATGTTGTGACATATGTAGAGCCTGAGGAGGCCGCCCAGCTAGGCCCTCCATCCGCCTGTCTGGGCCCAGGCAAATCCGCCTCCAGAACCCACGCTTCAGGGAGCGCATCGGCCGCTTTCCCGCCGCCCTGGCGCTGCTCACGAAGATTGGCGCCTCGGGAGACGGAGTCATTGAGTAGGCCAAAGGTGGAGTAGGGTGGAGGGTCAGGTTACCAAGGTGAATCAGCCAGGTTCCCGCCATTTTCTTGATCATTTTTGCGCGCTTGACTGTTTTTGTCCTGGGCATGCGCATCAGTAAAGTGATCCAGAACAAATTCTTCAAACTTGTGCCATGTCTGAAGACTATTTTCCTCTACAACCCAGTGGTTGTCAGGTTCCATGTTAACCTGCGGCGGGGCATATTACATGTCAAATACACGTACCATACACCAATATCTATCCTCTTTGAAGAGCGCTATCCCTAAGTTCTCCCCACCAATGACCTCCCAACCCACCGGAATCGCCGAGGTTTCCAGAAGGGCGACTTCTGGACTTCGGCCTACGAGCGCCAGCCCTGCCTCGAGTGGCGCCACGCCGTGGGCTCGGCGAACGCCATGTCTCAACGCATGGAACGTGCCGAGCCCGGAACGGATGGGTCAGGTGGGTCAGATGGCCCCCCCCATGCCCCGCCTTTTTGGGGGGGCTTAGGCTTTGGGGCATGGAAAAGAGTGAAGATCCAAGAGATATTTGGGAGTTGGGAAGTGCTGAAGATCATTGAAGATCTATGTTACATGTTCTTTCTGCCTGTGCTGCTTTTCATGCAATAGAACATTGATGAATGTGATTCAATATGATATATAAGCTTCATAGAAGCTCATTAAGGTGACGCGCCTCGCACCAAACCATCAACCGGGCCGCCTGCTGGACGAGGTGCTTTCTCGCTGCTGGACGAGGTGCTGCGGAATCCGGATGCCTGGATCCCTGCCACTTGCGCAGCCATGCCAGAGGCGCCAGTTCATCCAAAACGATCGCTTCTCGAAATAGAAACGGCATCACTGAACCAATGCGATCCTTGTTGGGCCTTTGTCAAAAGGGTTTTGGGGGACTGGGTCATACACCTCACCTGGGAGTCCAAGACTTTTTTTCTTGTTTTTGTAGTGTTCTATCCTCAGTAAAATGGTGGATTGGTAAAAAGCCATTCAAGAATGGTGGTTGGAAGCGTAGGGTGTCAGTGTACAGTGTATAATATGCTATATTATGTTATAAAATGTTATGAACACATGTAGTTTCCTGAAGACGTGTGATTCCCATCGATGTCCTTCATGTTTAAGCTCTGCACTCCCACGCGCAAGCCCGTCAATGATGCATCGATCACGCCGACTTGCTGCCGGGGTTTGAGTCTTGATAGGTCAAAAGTGATCTGGTTGACGTGAACGAAGACAGCAGCCTGGCCACTGACACCGCAAGCACCCTGGCCGCATTCAAGCCCGTGTTTTCACATTGCACGGCTAAGCGGCTAAAGTGGACAACATCTTCGAAGGTCAGCCAATTGAACTCATTGTTTTTGTTTCGCTGGTAGGCGTTGACCTAGCAGCGATTCTGACGAGGGAGGCGTTGCCGCATCGTGTTTGTTCGAGATGTGCTCGTGGGGGGCCATCCAAGGAGAGCTTCTCGCCGAAGTCCATGCGCGGCGGGCCAAGGACCCTCGAAAGTTCCAGCAGGCCATGCGTGATGCAGGCACGACCACGGGGATTTCTCAAATGGACGGTGTAAATGTTTGATCTCTGATGGGTGGGCCCTTGAATCCTTGAAGTGAGTGTTTTGTGACAGGGCTGGCTCTTGCAGTTGCAAGCAATTCACCTAGGGCCTAGGGCTTTTCAAAGTTATTCTATCGGACCTATCGCCCATGCCCTGCGCCTTCCGTGCTCACACCTCGCTGATCAGATGTACAAATGATTTCAATTGCTTTCAACAAGCCATAGAACCTATGGCCTAATGCTGAGCAGAGGCGAGCCATGGTCATACATGGCGAGCCTGGAAGCCCACATGTTCCACGTGCCAAACAGTTTTCAACCCCAACGATTGGTTTTCTAACATTTTTCCACCATGTGCCACTCCCCACCATTTTCCATGTGTTTCTCGTTTTAGGGTTTTCATAGACTCATATAGAGGGCCCAAACACACAAACGATCGGTCGCATGCTCCTAAGGTCGGCGTCCGAATCCCTCTGTGTACCGCCTGGTGCCTCGAGCGCCCACAGCCCAGCGGCCCTTAGAAGAGCGTTTCCCTGGAAAGCGGGAGACCTTTGGCAAGGAAATGCAGGTTGGTGTGGCAAGGGCTGCTGAGTGGATGATGTTTCTGCTTCTTCTTGGTCAAACATACCTGGGCAAACAGGTGCTTATATATATATATAAAGCTCTGGACGGTCTGCAATCATTTTTTTGGGGGGTATGGCAGGTGTGAACCTCGCCGGCCCTGGGCTAACCGTGGCGTGTTCAAGAAATTGTTCCGGTGAAGCCAACGTTCAAGATGTGGAAAGCAGACTGGGACACAACAGCAACTGCTACCTCGTCCCTCGATGACAGGGTAAGATGAAGTATATCAAGTGCCCCCTTCTTTCAGTTTGGTGATTTCTCGATGTGGTCTTGGTGAACAGTTGCCGCTTGTCACACTCCACGCGGGGGGGGAGCAGCCCAACTACTCTTGAAGCAAGCAAGCGGGCGGATGGGCACTGGGTGGGCACTGGGTGGCAGCCATAGTTCCTACACCAACCTGACAGCAGATCACCTCAGGTTCAATTTGCAGGACTTGGAGAATATGCGTGTAGAGGAAGCAATCGGAAACATGCCTTTGCAGCCAGGTTGCATTTGTGGTCAGACTGGTTCAAGTGTGCTTCTGTTTTTTATGTTTCAACGGGCCGTTGGTAAGTACACAGCAGTTCCAGACGCAAACTCATTGGATTTTGTTCCACGGTTTTCAACATTCTTGAATGTCAAAAGGTTCACTTCTGGTGCAACAATGGTTGCAACGTAGATGGACAATGCCTTGCACATGTTCAGGCCAAGAATCCAAGACGCACATGCCCCAAATTGGTGGACTGCCAGTTGCAGCCACATGATGCCCCATGTCAGAATGCCAGAATGCCAGTCTCCTGCATGCTTACTCTCCAATTGTTCTATTCTTCACCTCATTTGTCTCGCTTTAGCCACCTCATCCTGATTCACTTCGCCGTCATGCGAAGAAAGCTTTTGGTCGATAGGTTCGGCCTCGCTGCTCACCCGATGATCGGGCACCCTCTCGAGCTCGAGGGGACTCGACCCAGGTATGCCAAGGAGTATGAAACCAGCTTGGGCCAGGCGTCAAGCTATGGCCACCTGGGCTTTTGATGGCTCAGTTCACTGGAACCATTTGGAATTGGAGATGGTTGGAGGTAGGTACGAGGTACCTCCCTGATTGGTCTGTGTTTGCAACACGGTAAGAGTGCTCTTTTTTTGCCGCATCCACCAAGTCTCATCATCCACCTGCTGTGGTTCACGGCGCGTATGCGTCACCCGTCGGATTTTTGACAAGGACAGCTGGTGAACCGGAGCTATGACCCCAACTACTTGGCGCGCAGGGCACTGGACGAGACCAATATCTTTCGGGGTTCTGAGAAGATGCCGCCAATGACACTGGGATGGCATGCCTTCACACTGACACTGCTAGACAGAGATATGATAAAGGGAGGGGGGAAACTGGGATTGTGAATTGCTTACCTCATTGGACTTGTGATTCTCTTTTTGAAGGTGGGTAAGGTGGCATGGGTTAAAGTAGAGAAGGACCACGTAAAGGGCCCGAGCTTGTGGAGAGCTAGAGTCAGAAATCAAATTGTGGCAGAGTTGAATTGGAGAAGAGAATGTGACATTACGTGACCACAATCAGAAAAGAAGCGGTGACTGCCATGAGGATACATAGACCAACATCATGTGGAAACAATTGGCTCAAAAGCTGGAAGCACATTGAAAGAGACTAGCCCGCAGGCACCAACGACATCGACCTCGCAATGGCCCAGCGTCCTGTGCTGTTCGTCCTTGTCGCCACCGCCTGCCTTTGGCTCTTCTCAAGCAGCATCTCCGCTCCTCAGCAGGAGGTCTTCGTGATTCAGAGCCCAGCGCTCCGTGGACAGGCCTTCACTGGCAACAGCTTGGAGATCTCTGCCATTGAGTCCCCTGTGGTGCTGAAGGCCCTGCCAGAGCCTCGCCCCAATGATGCGATGCTTCCAGTGGAGTTGAACCGAACCTCCTTGTACTGGGGCTTGCTGTGCATTTGTGTCCTCTCGGTGCTGTTCTCCAGCTACTTCTTCAACTGAGCAAGCCGGCAATCCTGCAGGATGTTTTTGTTGAGGCAGCTGAGGCAGTTTGCTATTCAGCAAGCAGTTGAAGTGCGAACGTCTCCCAGGCTGCGCAGAGACGGTTTGAGTTTCAGGAAGGGTTGCAATGCCAAAAAGAAGAGCCACGGCGCTACGGCGAGCCTGCAGTTCAGACGAAAGCGATTCCACACAGTTCTTTTCCGCCCTCACGTCCCCTCTCATCAAGAAATCGACCAGCAAGGTGCCTTGCATACGACTTTCAGATCGAGACATCCCCTTGCACCCCATCCCAATCCACCCGAACGCGTCGGTCGATGTTTTGGGCTCTGCTTTGACTCAAGGAAATGGTGTCAGGGCATTGCCGACATTGCCGCCGAGCACGCGCGACAGATGGCTCGAGGTCGAACGAGCGGTGGGGCTTTCGGGGGGTTCAGAGTGTGGAAGAAGACATGGGGGATCGGGAAAGATGATGAACACGTATGAACACCAGACATCACCAGACAAAGATCAAGAGAACGCCTACGTAAGAAGGATCAAGGAAGTCGCATGATGCCAATTTGACTGGGACGAGAGACGCTTGTGTTTCTAGATATGCTGAATTGTCCGCCGAAGCCGCAGCGACGAAGGCGACATGCCCTTTAGCCACGATGGCTTTGAAGATCGCGTGCGTCGTTACCCCATTCCGCACATGAGTGCAGCAGAGACCCTTGGAGGCACAGACAACAAGTATAGGCAGATGACCCATGAGGACGGTCAGGTTTGGGGATGAGCAAATGCCTTTGCAATGTTTCACTCAGTTTCCATGTTTCCGCTTGTTTGGCGGGAGCACCTGAACCCGCAATCCTTCGAGCATGGCAAGTTCGGTGGCTGGACCACTGGGGCTCAAGAAAGGCTGAGAACAAGCTAAAAAAAGCATAACCATGGAGATGCAACAAAGGTTTTGGACTGGTTTTGGTCCACCGAGCTGAGCGAAGCTGAGAGCTTGATCTGCTTTGGACCTAGGAATCCCATGAAAACTGGAGATGTTTGGGAAGCAAGTTGACTTTGAAATAGGTATTTTCAAGAACGACCCATCCGCAAAGCGACAAAGCCAAGAGGTCACGAGACACAGGATGTGGAGAGATCCTTCCAGAAAGAAATAGCGGCAAATAGCGGCCATGGTTTTCAAGACGTAAACTTGACTCAACCATTCCGGGTACGGAGACGACAATATACGACAATCCCAATCCTTTGAGCCTCAACTTCACTCAAAGCACTGCAAAACAGGAAACAGCGGACGGTCAAGAACTGACCAGTTGGACCTAGCGGACTCGGCGCCCAGTGCTTCGGAGTGAGTAGCTGGATCTCGCCATGCTCCGACTTCACAGCTTATGGCTGCTGGTTGCTTGGCAGGTTTTCAGATTCTCATGAGTGGTTCCAATCCATGACTTGAGCTGGCAGGTGTGATTGGAGTGTATGGCTTTGGCTTAAAGAGTGTTTGCAAAAGTGGATGTAGTTTCATGAAACTGTTCAAGAGTTGTGCCACACTAACCCAAACAAAAACGTCAAGGACAATCAGACCAAGCAATTGGCACAAGGGACCCTGTGCCCAAAGCAAGGCTTTGCCACCTTTGGCGCCTCTTGGCATCGGAAGTGAAGTCTGGGGGGGAGAACCCGTGCTCCATGGAATCCATATTGCTAGAATATATACAGTATCGAATATATATATATATATTATATATATATGTGTGTATAATCTAAAAAAACAACTTATTACGCAACTTGCTTTGCACGCTTTGCATCAGATGCATTCCATCGGAGAGCCTTGCAGTTTATATTTTGGCCGGTTGTGCGGCAAGGGTACCACTTCGTCGAGCTGTTTGTCCCGGATCAACACGCAGAATTGTAGGGTTGCAACTGACAAGGCCAGGGTGCTCCCTTCTTTGATCCTACTATACCGCTAATGTGATGCTATATATGTAGTGATCCGTCCCACGATCTGGGTTTCAGAACGGCTTCTGGTGCCAAGCCCTAGGTCTACCTGCGGCATGACCCTCCACAGCGAGGTGGCCATTCGAGCTCACCAGCTCTTTGCGACAGAGGCGTTCTGGAGCCGCACGGACGTTGAAAGACCAAATCCTGTATCAACGCCCTATATGCTAAATGAGCTGCTTTCAGGGTCATGGCCTCAAGCTATCTCAAGATATCTCAAGCACTCGAGACGAGTGTTCTCTTTTGCGCTGCTAAGCCCTGCAAGAATGGCAGCCTGTGCTACAGTAGCAGATTTCCCAAGAAGTCTCAGTTGATCAACCATCACCAGCCTATACTTCCAGGGGTCCTTGCATGGCTTTTGTACCCTGGAGGTCGCCAACATCTCCTCGATTTTGGCACGTTATCCTGATGCCTTGGTGGCTGGGGCGCCGTTCCCTGACTATTTGTACGCCTGTGGCACTGATCATGGTGCAGGCCGATGTCCGGCGCTGAAAGGGGATCGGTGCCGATCCGATCGGAAGGCGCTTGGCAGAGGTAGGAAGAACACAAAGACCGAAGACGGGACAACAGTTCGTTCTTGTTACTAGTAGCGTTCTTGTTTCTAATAGCTTCTTGTTACTACTAGTAAGGCACTTGTGACTAGTAGCGATGCACTTGTTACTAGTAGCGGTCTTGGTATTGACATGTATTGACCTTACTTTGGTTGATATTTATGGCCCTCCGGTGTCAGACAGGCGAAGATGCACACTGGCACACCTTTCATAGCAAAGCAGCCAAATACATCCGCGAAAAGCATCTTTCCTGCACTCAGAACCGAGACAAAACCTTGAGACACGGGTTGCTAGTTGCTTTGGAAGGGGTGCGGCGCCCCCATGTGTGGCACCCCGCATGGCACGAACACAGGCGTTCCTTCTCAAATCACTGGCAAGTCACCACTGGGCCTGGCATTCCAGGTCTTTAGACACAAATGTCCTGGACCATGAAATGGATCAAGCTATTGGATCGTTTCTTTCAAGAGATGGGTTGCTGGTGCACCCATGGGGTCTTCACATCCCGTGGTCTTCATCTGTAGGGCCTATACACCCCGATAGGGTGACCCTTCACCAATGGTCAGAGCTTTCCTGGTGCACGAGGTATCCCAACTGGCAGCATGGTGACGAACATGGCGCGAAACTGGTCGCGTTTATGCTTGGTGCCGTGTCGCACTACGCAGCTGAAGCCTGTCGCACTACGCAGCTGTGTATGGTCGATTTTGTCGCTTTTTCATTTGTCCTCCCCCCAAGTCTGATGAGATAATTCCACTCAACAGCGGTCATGGCGTTGAGCGCTGAGGAAATGTGTGTTTTTTTACTCAGTAATCCGGTCCACCTATTAAGAAACACGCGCCCCCCCTAAATAAGGAAACCTCGGTCGCCTTTTTTAAAATAGGGGATCCCTGAAATCGGGGTGGTCCAAAATAGGGTCACCTGGGAAGGGCTTCAAAACCAAAAAGTAACCCAGGAACATTTTATATTATAAAACCATATAAAACTCGTATCAAAAATTCAAAAAACCTCCAGATCGAAGGTTTCTTCCTTTTCCCCTACAAAAGCCTTTATTAGAATAGTGATTCTTCATTAGACTAACAACTACTGTATATAAAGCTTTCAAAAGGTGATGTCGCTGTGCCATTGGGGGAAAGTGCGTTTGCGTGAGTCCGTGCCATTGGGGGAAGGAAAGCCTGCTGGTGTAAACACGGCGTGTCATGGTGGATAGACAGGTTGGACAGAGGTGGGCAGTTGCGGTTGTTTTTGGAACCTAATTTTAAAACAACTCAAAATCGGCCATGTTGGTCGTTTCGTAGCAGATTGAAAAGGGGCGGCAATTTGCGCAAATAAGCTGTATTTAGGGGCTTCCAACATGGTTTTTTTAAATAGGTGTCCGTTCGTTTTTTAATATTAATAGGTACTCGGGATTAATTCTTGCCCGGAGTGTGAAGCCTCACCTGTTGACAGCAATTTGCAGCTTAAGGACATGAATTGGCATGGTCAACGTGTCAAGCAGGAGACGCGCGCGAAATTCCAAGAGCCACGGTCACGACAATTTTTTGACGATTGGATTTCGCCTTCACTTCGATGGGCAACATAGGCTCCTATCAGCCCCCGAACCGGCTGAGAAGAGCACTCGAATCACTTGCCTGTACTTGCCTGACCTTCGATCCGCCGTGAGGACAACCGGACTCGAAACTTCGGGCTCGGATTCCTGGAGTTCTTGGGCGAGATTGACTACGGATGTCAAGGGCATTTATGTCCAACTGCCCACTCAGAAGGAGATACTGGTGGGGAGTGCGGAACTCAGAAGATGGTCAGCAGAGGAGGAGGGACTCGTTTTCTCCAGAAACATTTTCAATGCCACCTCGAGCTTCCGATTGCAGACGTCCAGAAGCACGAAAGTGGTCAAGTTATGTCAAGCCGCGTCCAAGATCTCTATCCCGAAGAAATGTAGACGGCTCATCTTCAAAGAATTTTAACTGACAAGATGAATAGGATACCATATAATGGGATACCATAAGATCTTGGAGGCATCACGTATCCCATAAAATCGGGCTTTGATTCAATGGAGTACATTGGGATACCTCGAAGGACTCATGAATTCAAGTTCTGCTAAACCAATGTCGGTTTGGCATATTAAGTTGCCACGCATTCAGACTCCAAGCAAGAATCTTCATCCGAACAGTTTTTTTGTTGACATTTTTGAGATCAGTTGATGGTACTGTGCTTGGACCCACTAGTCGCAAGAATGTTCTCGGGAAGACGACTTGCATCGGGACATTTGCACAGAACATGTGATTCTTTGGCACAGAACAGCGTGACGCGCGTCCCTTTTTTTTCCATATCATTTCCACTGAGGTTCATGATTCACCACCAGCTGCTGAGCACCTCCAACATCGAGCCACTGAGATGGTTCATTCCCGTGGCGGACTTGGTGGAGATCTTCCATCGAGAGCCTCAGGCGCATCCGAACGTCACTTCCACTTGGATCATCGAGCTGTGGCAGCAGAGCGCGCGACGCAAGCATCTTTAGCACGTGAGAAAAGAAACCTACTGTAGCAGCAGCACCTTGCAAGTGGATTTGCGCCGTGTGCATGCATCCGAGAGAGAGAGAGAGAGCGCGGGAGACACCAGTGCATTGGTGTTGCGACAGCTGACTGATGGCATTGTGCGCAGCCAAGGAGTGTGGGCTGGAGTTCCGTGCGGCTGTGGAAGCAGTCCATGTGGGTGGAGAGCTGCTTTTTCCGAAGTACGCACGCCCAGGGCCCTTTCTGCAGGCCGTAGAGTCGTAGAGCCGTCATGGGCGCATTAATTTGGCATGTTGGGCCATTTCACATTTGCATCTAAGGGTGCTACTAGGGGCAAAGGGCATCGCTACTAGGAGCAAGTGCCTTACTAGTAACTAGTAGTACAGTAACAAGAAGCTAGTAGAAACAATCTGTAGAATCAAATTTAATTAGAATTAAGTGTAGTGCAGACACTGCTCACCAGCTCCGTTTTTGTCCATGTGTTTGTAGAACCACTGCAACTGGAACGGTCATCCATAGCTTTGAACACCTGACACGGACAGAGCCGCTTTTCACTCGCCAGGAGCAATTGCTAGACTTCTGGATTGGAGGTTTCGATGACATGGCGCACTTCAGTGGGTTGGCTTACTAGGTTTCCGGATGTTTTCAGTGACTTCTAAGTAAATGGCCAAATTGCAGGGGGGCTTTCGGTTACAATCTGCCTGCGATGTTGTACACCAACCCGTGGAAAGAAACCCGTG